CATATCTTGAGGATCCCCTCCCTTCATGCCCCCAGTCTGGTGGGAGGGAGCCTGGGAAGAGGGCTGCGGAGCTTGGCTTTTGCTGCCCTAGCATGACAGATTGCCAGCCCGTGGTTCCGGAAACCTCTGCCCGGCTGTCGGCTGCCTGGTTCTTCTTCGCTCCCCACTTCTCCCTCATGAACTTTGCTGATCCTTCGCTTCCTCCTTTCCTTTTTTTGTTTTGTTTGTTTAAGGCAGCATTTTGCTGTGTCACTCTGGCTGTCCTGGAACTTGCTGCCTAGACCAGGCTGGCCTCAAACTCACTGTGTGGCCGAGGCTGGCACTGAAAGCCTGGGTGTGAGGGACTATGGGTGTGGGCAAGCTCGGCTTCTGTGGGCATGATTGTCCTCAGTTTACAGATCTGGTGGCCAAGGTCCGAGGCTCTGTGGTTTGTTAGACAGTCAGCGATCTCAGAAGCTGGGGCTGAATCCCTGCCTCTCTGTTCCTAAGAACTGGCTGCCCGTGTCCCCAGAGTGTGGGCTGAGGACTTCCACCAGTCTTTGGAGGCCGCTGTGAGGTTGGCTCACCAGCACCCCAGAACCCACACTTTCCTCACCAGTGACATCCAGCCTCTAAGACATGGGAAGGCTGGTAGCACCACAGACAGACAAATTTATTAGACGCTTTTCCAGCTTGGGAAGCTGAGGCAGGAGGAGTTCAAGGCCAGCCCAAGCCACATAGGAAAGCTCATCTCAACCTTCCCTCCCAACCCCTCAGAAAAGAGAAAGATTAATCCCAACACTTGGGCGGAGGCAGGCAGATCTCTGTGAGTGTGAGGCCAGCGCGCAGGGAGGAGCGGAGACTGTGGCAGGCTCGGGGAGGAGAGAGGGCCCTGCTCACTGGAAAGAGGAAGGCGAGAAGCCTCACTGATGCTGCCGTTCCAGGAAAAGCCTCACCAGCCGCACACCCAAGGTTCTCCGAGGCCATGCCTCAGTTACGTGTCGATAAAAATATTTAAAAAAAAAAAAAAAGGGCAAACGTGTCGCGGCCAGAAGATCCTGCTTGGACTGTTTGAAGTGAGAAGACCCATTTCTGAACCGGATCTTTGTGGGAAGAGCCACCTTTAAGCTGGAGGTCACTCCTGATGGCGGCCTGCACGGAGCACACGGAAGAAGGACGCTGGCTCTTTGCCTGCTCCTCTCGCTGGCAAGCCTGCTCCTGCACTGACCTTAGAGCCCACCTCTTCAGGATCCCAGATCTGCTGCAGGCCAGCCAAGACATCCAGGACTGGACAACTGCTGGATTCTTTTCAGTTGTGGTTTATATCCACAGTTTCCCCTCCTCCCTTCCCTCCTCCCCTCCTCCATTTCTTTGCAGAAAATCGCAGGCCTCCGTGGATGTCAACCAGCATGACATGTCAAGCAGCAGTGAGACCAGGCACCTTCCCTCCCGTCAAAGCCAGGCGAGGCAGCCAGGTGGGAGGGAAGGGTCCCTACGGCAGGCCGAGAGGTTCACAGCTATAGCCCCAGTGCGTGGACGCTGTGGCAGGGGCCCTCAAGCTGTGGCCTGTGCAGCCTTCAGGACGGGGGACCTGGCCGACCGGACGCACAGGATCCTGGGGGTTCAGATTCAGCCCGGCCTCCAGCCTTGCTTTCTAATCCTCACTCTGTTTTCCCCTCCACTAACTGCCACACCCTTTCCCCTCCCCTCTCCCCTTCCCCCAAGATGGAGCACAGTACGTACCCAGTAGGTACCCTCTAAACACCAGCCGGGAGGAACACTTTCTCACATTGTCAGGCATTTCTGTCACCATGATTCAGGAGAGACCCATACTCAGGCGTGTGTAACTCTTATGAAGCACCTCAGCTTGAGGCTACTGAGAACAGTGATTTCCTGTTGCTGTCTCAGGCTCTAGCTGGAGCTCCCAGGCTGGCAGGCCCTAAGCCCGGGCCTAAGCAGCCCACAGCACTGCCCACGGCCCCAGCTCCTTCCGTTCCTTGTGAGTCTCACTACAAAGCCCAGGCAAGCCTCGAGTTCACAGTGTAGCCCAGGCTGGGCCTTGAGGTGCCACCTGCCCCCCTGCTTCTCCCACCTCCCTGGTGCTGGGGTCACAGGCAGCACTGTGGGACCTGGCTGTGTCTGATGACCCACACGAAGCAGCTGGGAAACCAAGAAAGGCACACTCAAAACCTTGCATCGGGTATGCAGAAGTGAAAAGTAGGCAGACTGCAAGTTCAAGGTCAACCTGGACCACCCAGGGAGATTGTCTCAGCAAACAACAAAGCAAAACCCTACCAACAGGAGGAGGAGGAAGGAAAGAAGAAGACAAGGGAGGAGGAGAGAGGAGGAACACAAGAAGAATAGGAGAAAAAGGAGGAGCAGGTGGAGGAGGAAGGGGAGGAAAGGGAGAAGAGGAGGAGGGAGAGGAGGAAGAAAGGCCACGGATTGCTGAGAAGCTGGAGTCTCTCCGGCCACCCTCAGAGCTGGCTACGGTTTCATCTGTCTGTGTTCTGCTCCCTTTGATCCTTGTTGTGTTGTAATGATTCACTGAGGACAGTTACCCACAACTGTGCCGATGGAGCCAGTTAGGAGTTTTAAGTCCTTTTTATTGACTAAGAGTGTGTTCGAGCCTCAGAAAAACCTTTGATGACCAAGTTTCGGGATACAGTTTGTAAAGGTGAAACCCAGAAAGATTCAGCAAAGTCAGATGAGGGTCAGAGTGACCTTGAAATGCTTGTTCCTGACAGGACACAGTAATTTTTTCTTTTGTTCGAGACAGGGTTTCTCTGTGTAGACCAGGCTGGCCTTGAACTCAGAGATCCCGCCTGCCTCTGCCTCCTGAGTGCTGGGATTAAAGGCTTGCTCCATCATGTCCATTAGACATATGTCTATTATCTGGTAGTTCATCTAGACCCTGGTCCAGGCCATGGATATCTCGTGTTACCAAGGCAGATGTGACTGCTGTGGAGAGGAGGGTAGAGGGTTGAGAGCTATCCAAGCGAACCCAAAATGGAGTCAGAACAAGGTGGTGTGACCTCAGTCATGTTGGTTTTATCTTGTTCTCCTTTTTAATGTGTGTGTGTGACTGTGAGCCCTCTGTGTGTGTGTGTGTGGTGTGTGCACGTGTGCGAGTGTGTCCTGTGCACATGCTCATGTATACGCAGGTCACTCGCCCATGAGGGCGTGTGAGGAAGCTAGAAGCTGATGATGGTACATGTTTTACGCTATTGCCTTGACCTGTGGCTTCCTGGCTGGCCACAGCGCCCCCTGCCCCCGGATCTGCCTGCCCCGTAGGTGGCCTTTCCCTGGATGCTTGGGATATGAACTCTCATGCTTGTACAACGGGTACTTTCTGTCCCCAGTAGCCAAGCTGTCGCCCAGGTCCCCATCCTGGTCTGTCCTGCTGAGACAGGTCTCCTGTAGCCAGGCTGCTGGTGGATTCCCCCTGCAGACCAGCCTGAGCCTCTGATCCTCCTGCCTCTGCCTCCCTGGTGACAGGCTTGGGCAGGACCCACGAATGGGCTCTGTGACCTTGAGCTGGTGCAAGCAGGGGCTAGGTGCCTGTGCCAAGGCTCTGAAAATCCCCTCCCACCGCAGCTCTGCCCTGGAGCAGACTGAGGCTCCCTGTGCCTGAGCCTCTAGTTCCCAGGCCCCAGAGGTCCAGAGTCCAGCAGCAGGCCGAGTGCCAGCCCCACCACACCTCGATACCAGCACTTTCCATAACAGGTCCTAGCCAGATTCTTCCTGTTTCTCCTGTAACATACAAAAAGCCACACCTGTGTAAGTACAAGGGCAAGGAAATCCCCACGGAGGACAAGGAAATGAGGACAAGGAGGGAGAGGACATTTTTACTGCTGGCTACTTCTCAGCAAATTGTTACATTAAGTTCAGAGTGAATTATCTTCCCCGCTATTCTAGCCTGATTCAGTTCTGGCCTGTTCCAGAGGTGGGACCAGATTCCCTGAAACAAGAGTTCTGGGTGGTTGAGGGCCGCCCGCTGAGTGCTGGGGTCAGAAGCTGGGTCCTCTGGGAGGGTATCAGTGCTGTCCCGCCATCACTTCCCAAGTGCAGGGATTTCAGGTGTAGACCACCACACTCTGAATTCACGGGTGTCAGGCCAGTCGGCAATCTACCAACAGACACACGTCTCCAGCCCCACAGGGCCCGACCCTAAAAAAGTGTTTTTGCAGTTCAAGGACAATTGTGTGAGAGTTTAAGAGAAAAACAACAGGGCAGGTGGGCTGTACATCTTGACAGCTGCCTGGAAAGGAGAAAAGAAACAGAAGGCTGTGCTGGTTGCAGAGGCCAACGGAGGGCCACGTGGCAAAGGGGGGGTGTTGACCCCAGAGCCTTTGGGAAAGGATGCCCAGAGTTCACACTTGTCTAATTTAGGACTTAGAGAAGTGCGACAGTCCAGTGTTCTCTGGATCTGTTCTCTCCTTCCGCCATGGGGGTTCCAGGAACGGAAGTCAGGTGACCACACCTGACAGGAAGTGACTATGCCTGCTGTACCAGCTTCCTGGTTGGGCCTCACTCTAGATGCCTGTTAGGGCCTGTCCTAGTTTAGGATGATGAAACACCATGGCAAGGCCACTTGAGGAGGAAGATGCTCATCTCGGTTTACACCCCCAGGCAGCAGTTCATCACTGCGGGGAGTCAGGGAGGGAAGCTGGGGGCAGGAGCTGCTGCACAGGCCATGGAGGGTGCTGCTCACTGGCTAGTTCCACGTGGCAGCTAGCTCAGCCCGCTTTCTATGGAACCCAGGACCAGCCAGGAGATGACATCACCGCAGTGGGCTGGGCCCTCCCCCATCAATCACTAACTAAGAAAATGCCCTACAGCTGGATCTCATGGAGACATTTTTCTCAGCTGAAGCTCCCTCCTTTCAGATAACTCCAGCTTGCGTCTAGTTGACATAAAACTACCAAGAACAATGTCTTAACTGTGCTGTAAATTGGAATTCCCGTAATTTCCTCTGCATATTCAATTACCTTCTGAGCACAGAAGGATATGTGTTAGCATACTTTTAAAAACTTTTATTTACATTTCTTACATCTCTTTCTTCACCCCCATCCCTTCCAACACCCCAACCAACATCAGGTAGGAGAGAGAAAGGGTGAGTGGGAGAGGGGGCATAGTTCTCTTAGCTGCTTCCTGCTGGTTAGGGTCGTTGGGTTCCTTGAGCCAGTCCAGTCTGTGTTTCAGGAGATCGCCAACATCTTGTCTCACAACAGCAGCCAGGAGATGCAGCAGTAAAGCAGAAAGCAGCCGTGTTCTTTCTCGGTGCTCCACACTCTCTGGGCTCTGGCATTTATTCTCTCTCCAGAACCCTCAGATTTAAACTCTCTGCAGCTGGCAAAGAGCTCCTCTCAGAGCCGGCAGGAGGCAGACAGTCTGCTGCTGTGGACCATCTGAATCAGCCCCACATCCCACACCTGGGACCAAAACAAAAACATGTTTACATCCACCACAGATATGAGGTTTACTGAGTCTGAGGCTCACAACCATGTGCAGCTCCAGGTCCAGGGTCCATGGGAGCCAGCATATATGTGGTGCACAGATTTATCTTCAGGGAAGCACTCATAAGTAACGAGAATAAATCAGCAAAGCTGGGCTGAGGTGCAGCCTATGATCCCAGCACTCCGGGAGGCAGAGGCAGGCCAAGCTCTGTGAGTTCCAGGTAGGCTAGGGTCACCTGCAGACAACCTGTGTAAAGAAAATAAAGATGGGAAGATTCTCACCACGGGAGGAGGAGGGGGGTGCAGGAAAGGCCTCTGAGGTGCCAGGGATGGAGAGTCCAGGGGAATTCGATAGGAATGTGAGGAGCTGGGTTTGTGGTCGCCAGCAACTCCAGTAGCCCAGGCTAGCCTCAGACTCACTGTGCAGCCCAGGAGAAGCTTGAATCTTTGACCCACCTGCCTCTACTTCCAGTTTGATGGAGCCATTGAACCCAGGGCACACTAGGCTGGCACGATACCAAGAAAACTCCACTCCCAGTCCCGTGCAACTCCAGTGAGTTCTTCAAAGGGTTGCTAAGGAATGTGAGTGCGGCTGGTGTGGAATTTACAGGGTGGAGGTTGATAAGGTCACGCCTTAAGTCACAGGCCTGCAGGAAGTAGGCTCTCTCCTCTGTAAACAGAAGTTGCTAACCTTAAAAAAAAAGCCTAAAGCCAAAGAAACCAACAAAGTTACTAATCGCGTTTGTGAAATTCCAGGAGAGGAGGAGGTCGTATATGCCGAGTCTTCCAGCCTGATTCATTGCTATTTTAACATTCTTACTTGAAATGTCTCTAGATAAGAGAAATATCATCTCTGTGTTGGCAACTTCCATAGCAAATGTTAATTGTTATGGAATTCTTTTCTTCTGTGATTTTTTTTCCATAGATTTACTTTAGGGCAGGTGGGTTCACACGTGGAGGTGACAGAACTCAAGTCAGGCTCGGCCACAAACACCTTCACCATTCAGCTGCCCCTTGATGGCATTTCTAGCTCTCGGCTGGCTGGCAAGAGACTTGAACAAGATTCCAGGACGAGAGCCTCCCCCACCCCCACCCCGTCATGTCCGTACTCTTCTGGCTTTCTCTGCTGCATCGATTTCCTGCCTGCCATGGCACTCCTGTTCTCTTCTCACAGACCCGTTACTTCGCAGCCCTACCCAACCCCATAATCCCAGATTCTGCGAGATTAAGTCGTTAAGGGCAACTTGTTTAAAGTGGTGTTGATGCTGGTTAGCGGGCCTCGCAGCTGGGACCCCACACTCACCACTGTCTGCAGGGGAGCTGGGGCTGGGCCCCCGGAGAGCTGACCCCTGCTCTGAAGACGCCACATGCATGTGACATACAGAAACTCACATAGGTGCATACACATACACATTAAGGTAAATTATCTTAAAGGGGGTGCCGCTCCCCCCGATGGACATAGCCTGATCCTGGCTGTTGTGTACTTGAAAGATACATGGAACTCTGACTGATCTTCCTTCCTGAAAAGGCGGAGGGCTCGGTGAGCAAGCTAGCTCAGTGTCGCAGTGCGCTGTAACTGATTAGCTGTGTTTGTCAGCTTAATCATTTTTAATTATGTGTTTATGTGAGTCTGTGTGTGCAGGTGTGTGCACCTGTGCCGTGGGTGGCGGAGGGTAGGCCCTGGAGCTGCCTTTAGAGGCCATTGATACCAGAGGCAGAAATCGAACCCGGGTCCTCTGAAAAATCAGTATATATTCTCAACTGCTATGCCCTCTGTACTCACTGACCCTTTAGGACGTTTTAACTTATTTATGTGTACAAATGTTCTGTCTCCATGTTTGTATAATGTGCACCCAATGTGTCCCTGGTGCCCACAAGGTCAGAACAGGGTGTCGGATCCGGTGGAACTAGAGTTCAGTAGCTGTGAGCGGCTGTGGAGATGCTGGAACTAAACTGGGCTCCTCTGCAAGGGGAAAGGGCTCTTAATCCCTGAGCCAGCTCTCCAGTGACCTGTCCCCGACACACTGGCTCTTAAGGACAGGTCTCATGTGGCCCGGGCGGGCTTCAGGTGGCCTTGATCCCTGTGCATCCACTTCCTGAGTGCTGGAATCTCAGACATGTGCCGCCACACCCAGCTTATATGGTGTTGGGGACAGAACTCGGGGCTCACTCTCTGCATGCTAGACAGGACCCTACCGACTGAGCTGTGTCCTCAGTCTTCAAACTGAGGGTGAGCACACGGTGAGTCCGGGGCACTGTCCTGGGGCAGTGTGCTAACACGTGGTCAGAACAGCGGATGCTGCGCAGTGAGACCAGGGTAAACAAGCAGACGCCGGGCAGGGCAGCACCTATCTGCGGCCTCAGCATGAGTGAGGCTGAGGCAGGAGAATCATGGGAATACACCAGAGACGTATCAAACAAGAGGAATACAAACGGCAGCTTGTTTCTAACTGTGGCTACTTCTACAAGGAAAACTACTGGGTCCTGAGTGTGTCCCAGGAGCCCTGGCCTGCGGGGGAGGAAAGGGTTCTCAAAGACCCAACTTCACAACAGAAAGGATGAGATTTACTCAGAGGCGGGGGGGGGGAGAGGGAAGGAAAGCTTTTAGAAAGATCCAGCCCGGTCCCACCCCTGCCCAGCACACTGGAGCTCGAGATAGAGCTGTGGGTTCAAAGCCAGCCTGGGCCACATGGTGAGCTCTTGTCAAAATAAAAACAGAGCAGCAGAAGGCCCAACAGGCATTGTGAAGGCCTGGACGCAGGGAACTGAAAGGAGTACGGGTGATATGGTTTTGAGAATTGGTGGGCATTTTTTCTCTGTATACAGTTTGCATCTAAATTTTCCAGGCCAAACACTCATGACTTTGTCCCTCAGAGGAGGGAAAATAGTTTAAACAAGATAGCATTAGATGCAGGGAGAAGGAGGACAGGGCGCGTTCCAGGGGACTGGTGACATAAATGGTGAGTAATTCCTGGGGGTGGGGGAACGTTGGCCAGGCCCGAACAAAGACACAGGAGTGACTCACACACCATACAGTGGAGGCGGGCCCTGGAAGGTGAAGCCTGAGCAGCAGCAGGGCCAGCAGCCACAGCGAGCTTTGTCGAGGACTTCATGGAAGAGACGGGCCCCTCAGCAGAGGGGTGGATGGGGAAAACGGGGCAGAGGAATCCCAAACACGCGGGGCATGGTGGCACTTCTCTGTCATCCCAGCACCCAGGAGGCTGAGGCAGGAGGATAGCCGCATTCAAGTCTACACAGGCTATGTAGTAGGGTTCGGGCCAGCTTGAGGTACATAAGGAGGCCCTTCCAAAACCGCATTGACTTTATTTTAAATCACAGCGGGGAGCGCCTCCCAGGTCCCCCACCTGACCTTCTCACCACCACGACCTCATCTTCAAGCGTACACCTCAAGGCGCCCACTCGGGGCCTACATAGCCACGGTAGTGCCCGCCTGTGTGTTAGTTTTCCAAGAGTGTCCCAAGTACCAGGGCACAGGAGGGCAGCTGAGACCGTGCCTAAGACGGGACTCCATCGTGCGGCCCTGGGGGTTGCCGGCTCTCCTGGGGTGCCAGCCAGGGCCATGGCTGTTTGGGGGTATACTCATGCTCGCTGTGCTCTTGAGTAAACCCAGCAGCTCATTAACCCCCCAAATTGGACTTTGTGTGTGTGTGTGTGAAGAAGACAAAGAAAAGCCTACCCAAGAGTGAGTGAGTGAGTGTGTGTGTGTGTGTGTGTGTGTGTGTGTGTGTGTGTGTGTGTGTGTAAAGAAGACAAAGAAAAGCCTACCCAAGAGAACTCTGTGGGGTTGGTTAGCAGGGACCTCAGGAGCGTGGATGGAGCGAGAGGCAGCCCTCCCTGGTACATCAAGGGACAAGAAAGCCCTGTGCCCCCTGCCCTACACAAGAAGTGGAAGCTGCAGTCCCTAAGGCCTTCCTGATCTACAATCTCAAAAGAAATCGCTAGTCTGTGGACGTTCCTGCAGAGAGACAGACTGCCTGGGCAGGGGGCAGAGCACCAGCAGGGTGTAGAAACTGAGGCTTGCTCTGTCCTGGGCTGCTCCTGGGTGAGAGCTGCCCCTCCATGGCTGCCCTCAGCAGGACCTCTCCCCCGAGGGAATCAGGAGCTGTAACCTGGGGACTGCAGAGGTGGCTCCTTCGTCCCTCCCTGCTGGACCTACAGGCGCTGGCCAGCTGCTCTCCTCTTTGTCCCCCTTCTCCAAGCGCAGGCCTGAAGGCACCTCCCAAGCTGTCCATGGGAGGAGCCCATGGCTGCCCACTTATTCCGGTGCCCCTTGTTCATCAGCCTGGACCCCAACATGGGCCTGGAGGGGAGCATCACCCTGACTTTCTCTCTCGGAAGTCATGTGAAGCCTTCATTTTAAAAATGAAAAAAAAATTTATTATTTGTTTATCCAGCTTCCCCCAAAGTCTTCTCTCTTTTTTATTGTTCTGTTTTTTTATTTTTTGTTTCTCTGTGTAGCCTCCACTGTTCTGGACTCGCTTTGCAGACCAGGCTGCCCTCGAACTCACAAACATCCACCTGCCTGTGCCTCCCCGAGTGCTGGGATCACAGGCGTGCTGCACTGTGCCCAGTGTCCGAAGTCTCCATGTTGAGTATCCTGGATGCCTGGGCTGGAGAGGCAGCCGGCCCCGTGATTAGAAGAGCTGTGTGGGCTCCCAGCACCCCATGGCTCACGGCCTCCTGTGACTGGAGTTAGAAGGGATCTGACTCCCTGCTCTGCCTCTGCTGGCACCAGGCATGCATGTGGTCCACAGACATACATGAGGTGAGGGACCCACACATATAAAATAATAGAAAATATGTTACATAAGTAAAAATGTCAGCATGCCTCTAAAATGCAGGAGCAGTGAACAGGGGTCCAGGGCTCCCCTGCCCCGTGCTGGTGTGGGAATGGGGGAGACCCTACCGTAGAGAGGCAGTCCAGACTGAAGGTGGTGTTTTGTTGGTAGGACCAGCTTGCTGCTAGAGACCTAGGGTCTTGTCACAGCCGAGCGCTTGGACCTGGCTCTGGGCCAAACCGCCTTCCCTCCCAGGCCTCCGTTACTTAACTGATCCCCCCACCTCTGGTTTAGGTCAAGTGACACAGTGCATTTGAAAAGAAGATGCTGGGACAAAGAGGGCCCTTCCTTCCACAGCCGTCGGCAGCGGCCACCGTCCGTGCTTTCCCTCGGGTGGATTCAGGGTCACCCCTGAAAGCACTGGATGGAAAATGACAGAGCTAAGCGATTCATAAGCTCTGCTCTCCTGAGCAGCATGACGAAATCCAGGGCTATCCTGCTCCATCCACCCAGGATGTGAGTCATCCCTGTGTCCAGTGGGTCCATCCTGTATACACTGCTCACCCTGCACCGTCATGGTCACGTGATCCAGGAACCCCTCAGGAGGACGAGCCTCCTGGCATACGTTCAGAAGGCCTGTGGCAGCCCAGTGTCAAGTCTCAATGCCAGTGACAAGCACCTCACTTCATCAAGGCACCATAAAAACCAGGGCGGTGTCACACAGGAGGCTATCACAGAAGACATCACACAATTTCACTACAGAATCACTGAAACCATCCTATTGACTGTGCCTATTGTTAATCTGTTACTGTGGCCAATTTGTGAATTAAACTTCATCATAGATACATATAATAAAAAATGTAGCTTATGGAAGATTCGAACCTGTTTTGGACATGCACTGGACATCATGGGATGTATCCTTCTGAGGTGAGGGGGGATCACTGCATTTCCTAGAGATGGCCCTGATACATGCTCTCCGTGGTGTGTGCCTGACCGGCGGGGTGTGAGGAAAGTGATAGTTATGTAAAGGGGTGTCACCAGGCCGGAAAGACGGTTTGGTGGGTGAAGGCATTTGTCTCCAGTTTGGTAGGTGAAGGCACTTGTCCCCAAGCCTGAAGACTGAAGTTGGATACTGTTCCTCTCAGATCTCCTTAGACACACTGATGTTCACATGGAACAGGAAGTGAATCAGTGCAGCAAAAAGCTCAAGAGGAGGAGGAGGAGGTTGTTAAAGGGCCAGGTATAGTAATACTTTACTTCTAGCACCCCGGAGGAGGCAGAGGCTGGTGATTCTCTGTCAGTTTGAGGCCAGCCTGGTCTATATAGTGAGCTGAAGTAATAATAAATAAATAAATAAATAAATAAATAAATAAATAAATAAATAAATAGTGCATACATACATAACATAAGTCAGCCTAATTCAAAGAGTAAAAATTCCTACCTACCTAGTCCAGTCCCCCAGAACACACAGTGAAAGGACAGAACCAACCTTCAAAAAGAAAAAAAAAAAAAAAAAATGAAAGAAGAAAGAAAGAAAAAAGTTGTTGCCAGACACTTTTAAAGGCAGCGCTCAGGACCCAGAGCCTGGAACTCTGGGAGTTCAAAGCCACTGTGTTCTGCATAGCAAGTTCCAGGACAGCCAGGGTATGCAGAGAAGGACCTTGTCTCAAAAACAGACAAGTTGTTCAAGCCCTTCTCGGTTCCTTAGCAAGTTCAAGGCCAGTCTATGATATAGGAGACCCTGTCTCAAATAGAGGGGGGCATCACTGGGCTCCTTTATTTATTCTACTTCCTAACGTGACCGCAAGAAAGAAATAAAAAAAAAGGAGGCCACAGAGAGGCTCCGCAGGAGATCACCTTGTCCTGTGGGCAGCTCACCAGGGTAACTCCAGCCCCAGAGACCTTTGGGCCCCTGCGCTCACACATCCACATACCCAGACACTCACGTAGGCATTATTAAGAACAGGATGTTTTTAAAGCGACATCATAAGATAAACTGTCACAGGGTTCTGAGCTTAAAAACTGGGAGAGTGTTGGCACGTTACACCTGGGTTTGACCCCGGTACGGAGAAAAGGAAACTGTGCCTTGTCCCTTAGCAGCCAGCCAGCGTGCGAGAGCAAGAAAAGGGCAAAGTGAAGCAAACTCAGCCCATTTCCACTATGACACTGTTCTTCAAAGGCCAGCAACGCCTGAGCCAGCAAAAACGCCCCAAAGCTTTCTCCATAGTCTGTGCCCTTCGACACCGAGAGACTGAGGCCTTCGGAGCCCTGCAGCACCCAGTCCCTGGAGGCTGTGGGTGATTCTGGTCTCTCATTGCAGAGTCTGTCCCCACAACCCTGTCCTGGCGCCTCCCCGGCAGGGTCCGTGGCCATGGCAAAGCCGGTCCGTTGCCACTGAGGCGGGTGGTTTGCTGTGCGGCATTATGCAACCAGAGCACAAAGCAGTTTCAGGTCAATTGGGCAACATGTGAATTTCAGTTGAAGGCCCCTGGCTGCCAGGGCTGTAATGCAAGCTACTTGGGAGGTTAAGGCAGGGAGCTCCCAAGTTCAAGGTCTGCCCGGGCTACAGATCCGAGTTCAAGACCAGCCTGGGCAGCTGAGCGAGACCTTGTCTCAAAAATTGTAACTGTGTTCGAGAGATGGTCCAGGAACGGGCCCAGTTCCCAGAACCCCAGGTGTTGGATTCCAGGAACTCTGGTGTCCTTTCGTGCCCCCCCAGCTGCTGCATTCACACAGCATGGACACCTACCTACCCGGGCAAACATGCACACACCTGAAATAAAAATAAATATTAAATGAAGAGGATGACCACAGCTCAGCGGAATAGCTCTTATGCAGCACGCCTGAGGCCCAGGGTTCAGAAAATAAAGCACCCGGGGTAGGTCCCAGTTTGCTGGATGGTGCCTTGGAATGCGAGCTCACTGGCTTCTCACCCAGTTAGCGAAGCCCTGCCCTCAGGGGCCAGCAGCAATCCCGACGAAGGCGCTTTGGCCTTTTCTCCTGCTTGGCCCTTCAGGGTTTCCGCTTGACTTCCAGTCCCGGCAACCAGCACACTGCTCCTACAACCTCTTCTCCCCCCTCCGTCCATCGCCGCGTCAACCGTCGTCCACGAGGAGCACCCTCTGTCCGTGAGTGACCTTCCGGGAGCTCCAAACCTGTTCAGAAAGTCACGCCCACATGCCATCGCCCCAAATCCCACACCTGTGTGTCTAATCCCCTTCTTCAGACGTGAACCCCAGCCTTGGGCCTCCAGGCTCTCTCTGGCTGTTGCCAGTTGTTTATTTTACTACAACCTCAACGACATGGATGGCTGCTCTGCTCTGCTGCCATTTGGACCAAGATGCTATTCCCAGCTGGTGCCCTCAGCCTCCTCTTCTCAGCAGCCTCCCTGGCATACAGTCCCAACAGAGGGTAGGCAGCCTGAGCGAGTGCACGCTCGCACATGCACACACACACACACACACACACACACACACACACACACACACACGGCATTCTAACCCCTGAGCGTGCACCAGTTTAGCTGTTTCCCTCTTACCACCCCCTTTCCCTCGGTCTCCCACTCCTGACTGTCCTCCAGTAAATTCACTGATCACAAGAGCCTGGCCCTCCATCCCCTTAACTGAAGCCATTCATCCCAACGTGTCTCCTAGCAACCGCTGTGCACACCACCTCCTCCCCCTCACATCCTCCCCTCCTGCCTGCTCATGAAGGTGAGGTCCTCCTCCTCCATCAGCTTCAGCACACACGTGTGTCAGATTAAAATGTCTCTGACGGTCATCTCGCTACGGGAAAGTTCACTGCCTGGAGTGACCAAGAGACTCCTTTGTCTGCTCTCCAAGATCCTTGCAGGAAGCTGATCTCCACCTTGTTTACTTGGCCGTTTGTCAGTATTCCGGTCTCTGTTCCAGCAGGTCTCTTCAGAGCGCAGACTCCCCATCTTCCTGCCTTCCCCTCTCCTATAGGCTTCCGAGCACTGCTCCTTTGTGGGAGTCCCAGCCACCCCAGGATCCATGCTCTTCTTCCCAGCTCGCCAGCCTCCGCCTGCAGGCAGACAGGGCTGAGGACTTCACTTCAGCCCCTGGGGAGTGTGCCCAGCCATGCCAGTGCGCCTACCTCCTGGCAGGACGGCGGAGCCCACGCTGACATCTTGAACCTTGACGGTTCTGCTCGGCGCTGAGGACCGTGCGGCCTCAGGTAGAGCAGCTGCCCCATCCCTGCACTGCCCTTGATCTGGGGAGAAGGGAGTTAGCACCTAGAGAAGCCTCCATTCTGTGCCACTCCCAGCCCAACCTCTCCTGCCTGGCTCACCGCGCTCCACTGTTGAGCTCACGTCTCTGAGAGAAAGAAAGGCGCACATGTGTCTGCTGGGGTCTGCTCTGCTTCATTTCATCCCTGTGACTTACACGGTCCTACCGAGATCAGCTCTGCCTTGCCGTGGGCTGAGGGTCATTCCGAGGGTCAGCGCACTTGCCACCAAACCTGAGTTGAACTCCCGGAGCATGCACGGTGGAAGGCAAGGCAGCTCTTCACGGCTATCCACAGGCACGCCCCGCCACAACAATGTGGGGGCTGGAGAGACGGCTCAGAGGTTAAGAACACTGGCTGTTCTTCCAAAGGTCCTGAGCTCAAAGGTGGCTCATAACCATCTACAGTGAGATCTGGTGCGCCCCCCCCCCCCCGTCTTCCGACACACAGGCACGCATGCAGGCAGAATGGTGTATATGTAATGAGTCTTAATAAAAACAATAATGTGGTGGGAAAGATGCTGCTTTGGCAGAGGTCTGGGCTTTGTTTCCAGCATCCCGTGGCAGGTCACGGCTGCCTGTAACCCCAGTCCCAAGAGACCCAACGCCTTCTCCTGGCCTCCTCGGGCACGAAGCAGAATGTGGTACAATCGCACCAACACAGCATCACCTGGCTCCGGGGCGCTGGCGTGGTCGGCTCTGGCAGACAGGAGTGAGCAGCAAGGACGGGAAGAAGACGGTAGCTGGCTCAGGCCTCACAGCAAACCCTTTCCACACAGGCTCTCCCTGAAACCTGAGGCTCAGCCCTGAGAGTAAAGCCAAGTTTGTTTACTGGTTCATCCTCTTGGGAAACCTCCAGTGAAGAGGCCTGGAGAGATGGCTCAGTGCTTCAAAGCGGTGGCTGCTCTTCCAGAGGTCCCAGCTTCAGTTCCTAGCACCCACATGGTGGCTCACAGCTGCCTAGCGCTCCAGTTCCAGTGGATCCGATGCCCTTTTCTGCTCTGCAGGATCCTGAATTTATGTGAGGCACATAAGCTCACATAGCCACACACATATAAAAATAAAAGGTAAAAACAAACCAAATAACAACAATAAAACAAAACAGTAATCCAGGAAGGGGTGGTGCATGGCTTCAATCCCAGCACTCAGGAGAGGCACGAAGACCAGGGGTTCAAGTTCAGGCGGGCTCCATGAGACCCCCATCTCGAAAGTAAACAACACAGAGCTCTCATCGGATGTGTTCTTGCCCTTCTTTTGGCTTTTGCTTTTATGAAGCGACGTCTCCCTTAGCCCAGGCTGGCCTTGAGCTCCTCACCTTTCGCATGCACCTCTTCGGTGCTGGGATCACAGGCATGCGGTGATGATGGGTTCACTGTTGTTTTCCCGGGCTCATCCTGCAGCCCAGTCTGGACTTGAACTCACACCGATCCTCTTGCCTGCAAACCTTGAGGATCACGGGCGTTGCAAGCATGCCTAGCTAAGGCGTCTTCTCCTCTTCTCCCCAATCTAACCTGGGCTAACCAGAGTCTCCCGAGGCTTTAAGTAGTCAAGATGAACTGAATACTGTCCTGACCACTGGGTGGAGGACGGCTGCAAGTCAGAAGCCGGAGCTGTACAGTGAGTCCCAGCGCAGCCAGAAACAGAATGTGATGTCTCCAGAGTGCCAAGGCTGGGGTCTGCGGAGGCGGCTCAGCAGTGAAGAGCGCCCAATGCTCACGCACAGGGCTCACGATCTCCGGGAAGTCCACCCCCAGGGGAGCTGACACCATCTTCCGGCCTCCATGAGCACCCACACACCTGCCACACCCTCACACGCATAAATTACAAATGGAGATGTTTTAAATTAATAAAATCTTTTATTTCTTTTGTTACGTTGTTATTCCTGTGTTTGAGGGTTTTGCCTGAGTGTGTGTGGGCCTGGGGCCCTGAGAGAGCAGAAGAGGCTGTCAGACTCTCCAGCACCAGAGCGTCAAACAGTTCTGAGACATGGTGTGGGTGCTGGGAATCGAACCCAGGTCCCCCAAAGAGCACCCAGTGCTCTTAACCACTGAACGGCCTCTCTAGGGCTCTAAATAAAGTCAAGTCAATCTAGTCAGACAAATTAGTATCTTTAACCTCAGCACTCAAGAGACAGAGGCAGGTGGATCACTGTGCATTCCAGGCCAGCCTGGGCTACCAGTTAGAGCTCCAAGTGAGACTTTGTCTCAAAACAACAATGACAAAAATAGAAAACCACAACTGAGCGACTAGACGCTCCCTTTCAGCTGAGGAGGAGACAGGCCAATGGCTGGGAAGACACGGCCAGCCAGTTTTGCCTCATGAGCAAGTTCCAGGCCTCAGTGTAAGATTCTGGCTCTTTGTTTTTGTTTGGGGAAAACAGCCTCAGAAGTTGACCCCTGAGCCAGGTGCAGGGGTGCACACCTGTGATCCCAGCACTCGGGGAGGCAGAGGCAGGTGGATCACTGTGAGGTTGAGGCAAACGTGATCTACAGAGTGAGTTCCGGACAGCCGGGACTACACAGAGAAACCCTGACCGCTGGCCTGCATGGGCTGACACAGGAGGAGGAGGAAAAGCAAAAGCATTAGAAAAATGTGAAGAAGCCCAGACAGCATGCTCAGAACGTCAGAGAATTCCCAAATCCCTGCTGGCAAGGACACGGCCACGTACCAGGCCCTGCAAGCCTGCTTGGTGGGCAAGGCCGCTTCTCCCTGTCTTCCTCACTGAGGGAATTAAGGGCAGAGCTGGAGTTATGTAACCGAGTTGGGCTGGGCGCCGCTGGGGACCAGTGGAAACCCATCCTGGAAGCAGCTCCTGCCCTGGGAGAGCTGAGCGTGCAAACCACTGTCTCTAGAACCCTGTGGGCACACGGGAGGTTTGGCTTTGCTTTCAGAATGCCAATCATTTGGGTGGAGACTGGAGAAAAAAACAGGCCGCTAAGCGTCAATCAGCGCTTTAGCTGCTAGAAAGTAGAATCGAGCTTTCAGTTATCTCCTTAAAAACGCCAGGGCAAAGATGAGCAAGTCTCCTTTCCAGCGAGGGAGCCAGGAGTTAAATCCAGGCTGCTGCCCCAGCTTGACGCTCCTGCTGGATCTGTGCTTTGTCCAAGGCCTCCACCCCATCACCCTGCCCCGCAGTAAGGCCATTCCTAGCGAATTCCGGGACACTTGCTTTCCGCCTCAGCATTCCTTTCATGCTCAGCCAGCTCTGTCATCGGCTCCATCGTTTTTTGTTTGTTTGTTTGTTTGTTTTGTTTTTTCCTTCTTGCTGTTTTGTCTTGTGGGGAGAGTGAAACAAGGCCTCACTGGGTAGAACAGGCTGACCTCATATTTGTGGCAATCCCCCTGCCTCAGCGTCTGAGCGCTGCGGTTCGTAGGCGTGAGCCATTGTGCCTAGCTCTGTGGCGTCCTCAGAGGAGGAGAAAAGGAAGGTCTAATGTACGAAATAATGTTGGTTATTATGTGTGAGATGGACGGATAGTTTTAGTAGATATGTTCATCTCTCATTTTCCCTTAACTAGGTCACAAACTTTTTCTTTTCAGATAGAGTGGCTCTATGTAGCCCTACCTGGCTAGGAGCCACACAGGCCAGGCCGGCCTCAAACTCTCAGAGATCCGTCTGTTTCTGCCTCCGGTGCACTCTTTAAGGCGTATGCACTGTACCCAGTCCAGAGCCGTATTTTATGTCTTAGCCTCCACTGCTCTTAGTAGGGAGACGTTTGACCGTCAAGCCGCAGAGTGCGGGGTTCACAGCGCGTTCAGCCAGCCTGCGGTGTGCGCCCTGTCCCCAGCCACACGCAGTGCCCTGCAGGACTGCTGAGCACGCGCGTACAGAACTCTCCAGACTAGTTGGTTCTCTGCATGACCGGTGAGAGTGGAAACCGCGTCAGTTCCCTTTCGCATTCTGGGCTTCCTTTCTGCGGGAGCGCGCCGTGGATGTGACCAGAATGTGCCTCTTTCTTCAGAGATTCCCTAGGAAGTGGTATCTAGACTCAGCGGGCAGTAGCTGACCCCGCCGAAGGAGAGGGGATGAATCCTGACCCTTAAAAGTGTTCCCAAGGGCGGGCGAGGCGTGGTGGTGCCACACCACACTTCCTAGGCACATCACGGCCTGGGCCCAGCCCCAGCGTGGCGCGCAGAACTAAAGCCACCCGTCTGCACCGGTATCTTCCAGCGTCGCCTGCTGCCTGTCCTTTTCCGCCTGGCAGCAGTACCATATCTTTCTGTGAGGGCGGGAATGTTGGGTCTCTGTCCTTTCCTGTCTGGTCACCAGGAGCCACATAAGCTTCCTGACCGTCACTGGCTCTGATCTTTCTGTCTTTAGACTAATTGGTTTGGTTTGTTTGTTTGTTTGTTTGTTTGTTTTTTAAGGCGGGGTTTTCTGTAGCCCAGGGTGGCCTTGAACTCTTGGTCCTTCTGCCTTCACCTTTCCTGGGCGATATCCTCACATCTGACTGCAAATAAAGATTCTCTGAGATGAGTCCAAGGCCTCCAAGGGCCTCTCATGCACAGCCCTCCTGGAGAAAAGCCGTTGGAGGAGAGACTTTAGGGCCAGCTCATATTTACTCCCCGCCCCACCTCCTGACCAGGACCCGAGCCGGGGGAGCTGGCCTCTTCCCCAGGGCTAGAATGTCCAGCCAGGTAGCTGCAGCCCAGGGAGTTAAACTCAACCTTTTGAGTTTCAGCCTTCAGAGTAGCATAAACCACCAAACCCAAGACTGAGGCTGCAAGCCTCGGGCTGCAGACACCGAGCTCAGAGAGGCGGGAAAGCATTAGCCTCGTGAGCATCCTTCCTGAAGCCAAACAGCTCGCCTCAGCCCGGCTAGGCGGAGCCTCCAGGCCCTTTCCCAACCAGCCTCACCTTCTCAGAGGCTCACTGGAAGAGTAAGTGGGTGAAAAAGAGGAAGGAGAATGGATTCCTGTAAAGCTGTCCTCCCTCCCCTGCCCCTCCTTCCCTCTCCTTCCCTCTCCCTGTCTCTTGCACATTAAATAATAAATAAATACAACCCGCACAGCGGAAGCAGAGAACTGACTCCCGCAAGTTGAATCACTAGACCTTTTATTTTTTCCTTTTCTCTTTTGTGCTGTTTTTGTCTTAAAAACTTCTTAACCTTTTTATTGATTCTGTTTTTGCGTCCGTTTTGCCAGGCACGCATACATGGGTGCCTGGTGCCCACAGAGGTCAGAAGGGCACGTCAGATCCTCTGGAGTCATAGATAGTTGTGGGCGCCATGAGGGCGCCTGGTTCTCCCAAAGACCAACAGGACCTCTTAATTGCTGAGCCATCTCTCCAGTCCTAATTTTTTTTTTTTTTAAGATTTATTTTTTTCTGTGTGTGAAATGTGTTGCCTACAGACGTGATACATATACCTCACACATATATGTGTAGGGCCCATGTGTGCTAGAAGAGGGTGTTGAACTCCTGGAACTGGAGCTCCGGATGGTTATGAACCACCACGTGGCTGCTGGAAATTGCATTTGGGTCCTCTGCAAGAGCAGCCAGAGCTCCCAACCATGGAGCGGTCTGTCCAGTCCCTATTCTGTTATTATTTACTTTTGTCTTATGTGAACGTGTGAGCGTCTGCATGTATGTGCACCGTGCGCCTGTCACGGAGTTCAGAAGAGGGCATTAGATTCCCTGGAAGGAAGAAACCGGCGGTTGTGAGCAGAGCTGCGGGTGCTGGGAGCCCCAGTCCGGTTCCCCCGCAGGGGCAGCAAGAGCTCTTAACCTCCGACCCTCTCTGCAGCCCCTCTGTTTACCCTTTTGTTTGTTTTGGTGCTGGTGTGGGATGCAGAACCTTATGCTTGCCAGGAAAGCGCTGACCGATGGAGGCTCCAACCCAGCACGCTGGGTGTGTTTCTAACTCCAGAAGAATTGCCAACTCTTTTTCCAACGTGGTTTGGTTCTTGACACGAGCCTTGCTCTGTGCGGAATGGACCCTGCTGCAGCGTTAGCCTGATGACAGGCGAGGCTGCAGTTGCCATGCCTACCTAGCTTCGAAAGACTGGAGGGGCTGGTGGGGAAATGTCCTAGGTAAAGTCTGGCTTTAAGTCTACAGTCGAAGCACTTTCTTTGTCAAGGAACAGGTTCCCACCGGGTTACCTCAGCGGACAGCCGTGGGCTGGCACGTGGCCAGATGTTTCTTCAGACCTGCACGTCCGGAGAGGCCACGGCAGCATCGGCACCAGGCCCCAGCCTCTCCCCATGGGAGTCCTTGTCTCCCGGGCGGGCTCTCCAAACCCTTGATTATCCTAGGCGGGATGAAGTCATAGATGGGCCAGAGCTGCTCAGGAGCCAGGATGACATGACAGCAGCCTCAGGCCCAGACACTCCAGGGAACCTGTGAGACAGTTAGAGAAAACCTGAGGGAAAGCAGAGCCCCGGTCTGCCAGGCCCAGCTTCCTCCTTCGTGAGGTCATGGTCGAAGCCACACTGGAGCGGCTGGGTGCCAGGGATTGACTGAGGCTGTTTTTCCCTAACTTGGTTCTGAGTCACATGGCATCCACTCTTCCCAGAATACCACGGCTGGGCTCACCCTTGGCAGAGGATCAAGCTGCTCCGTCCTCACACGCGATACCCAGTGGCACCTGGCCAGCTGTCTATTGGGCCCAGAGGCCTGGGAGGGGACATTCCCGCCCAGCCTTTAGAGAAAAGGGCTGGTGGCAGCTGCTGCGGACGAGGAAGAAGGCACGCCTGGCTTTCAGGGTCCTGTGAGACACGCTGCTGAATCACAGGGCTTTGGAAGTGGAAGTCCAGTGGAGGGCCTTTAATCTAAGGCCTTGGCTTCGAGGAGCAGGCATCAGAAAATACAGGGTACCAGAAAAGGCAGGACAAAGACAGCTTCATCCGACATGCCTTCCCCCTGTAGTTATGTTTTGATCTTGTGTGGGGGGGGTGTCAGTTGGAAGAGGGCTTGCCTAGAATACTCGAGGCCCTGGGTTCGCTCTTACTCTCCAGTTGCTGGCCCTGAAGTAATGAGCGGAGCTGCAGGCCGACTCCCATGTGATCCAGTCTGTACCAACACAAAGAACCCGTGTCTCTACCCTCTCCAGTTGGCCTCTATTTATGGAGACACAGTGAGGGGGCATCACCGAACTAGAAGTCAGCCTGAGCTACAGAGCAAGAGCTGTGTCAGAAAGTGTACGGGGCTTTGTAGCTCAGTCGGTAGAGTGCCTAGCATGCACAGGCCCTGAGTTCAAAGCCCAGCACTGGGCACGGGGGTGCATTCCTGCAGTCCCAGCATTCAAAAGAAGGAGGTAGTTCAAAGTTGTCCTCAGCTACATAGAGGGTTCAAGGCCAACCTGGACTATGTGAGCCCCTGTCCTTTTGCTTGTTTTTGTTTTTTTATCTGTGTGTGTGTGTGTGTGTGTGTGTGTGTGTGTGTGTGTGCAGGCATTCATGCCACGGTGTGTGAGTAAAGATCAGAGGACAAGCTGTGGGGCTGGTCCTCTTCCTTTCATCTTCTGCCCAGGGCAGAGCTGAGGTCATCAGGCTGTTTAAGCTGGATGGCAGGGGCCTTTGCCTCGTGAGCCATCTCATCGCAGAAATGTCACCTGGCGAGAAGGAAGGCTCAAAGCAGCTCTGACTCCTGGGTCCTGAGAGCTGGGGGAGGAAGCCAGCATTGGGGAAACGGGAGCACACGATCTCCCCAGCTCTCGGTCTCTGCAGACTCCAGCTCACCTCTGGGGCAGCTGGTCAGAGCTGGGTGGGCCTCCTCACAGGGCAGGTGACCCTGGCACTTCTGCAACTCGCCTGGGTGCTCCAGGCACATTTTGCCTTCTTCCTGCGTCATAGGGAATTGTCAGGGCCTGATCAGAGCTAAACAGTAACTTCAGGGGTCATTTATTAACCACCCGAGACATCACCACTGCCCTCTGCAGCCATGAGTGGACGCCACTGGCCAGAACTGTTCTGGCCAAACAATGTGCGTGGGCCCGCCGAGAGCAAGGGTGCTGGGTGAGGTCACTCGCAGTAGCCGAGCCTCAAGGAGGAACGCAGAAGTCTCTTCTTTCCCTGTGAGAAACAAAGAACCACAAGTGCTGCCTGAGACAGACGGGCAAGGGGATGGAGAAAGAACTCCGCTTCCCTGCAATCTCATTGTAAGGAGGCTGCATGCCCACTGGGGCGAAACCCTGTCTCACAAAAAAGAAAGAAAAGAAAAAAAAGAAAGAAACTCCTGCCCCCAGGCTCAGAGCAAAGGCTGCTACCCAAGTAGCAGGGACCGCAGGCGGGAACCTGCCTTATAAATGTTATTTGTATGTTTATTATTTTGGCTCCTTTTTTGGAGGGCGGGAGTAAGGATGGGGGTCACGATCCTTCCTCCTCTGTTCTTTTTGTTTTATTTTACTGTTTTGCTTTTGGAGTCAGGGATCTCTCCACGCAGTCTCAGCTGTGCAGAACTTAGCTCTGTCAACCGGGCTGGTTCCGGCTCCCAGCGCCCGCCTTCCTCTGTGACCCCAGTGCTGGCATTAAAGGCGTGTGTCACCACAGTCTGTTTGTTTTCTACGGCTTAGTTTATTTTCAGTTGTGTGTCTGTATTGTGGGGATGGGGGGCCTGGGTGCACACACGTGTAGGTGCCCTCGAACGCCGGAAGAGGCCACTGAGTCCCTGGCACTGGCACGCTTGTGAGGTACCCTGTATGTGGGTGCTGGAGTCCTCTGGGGGCCGAGCAAGTGCTCGAGGAGCCAGCCCCTTGGTCATTGGTAAGTTGGTGTGCATTCGTTGTATTCATGGAGGGGTTTGCTTCACTAATGGCGTGGTCTGCGTCGCTGCCTCGCTAAGGTTCGCTCTCCTCCCACCGACGGTCATTCTCTCACGGCCTTTGTATGTTGGTGAGCCAGACTGCATATGGGAGGGAAGCATGCGGTGAGTCCTGAAACTTAGTCTTTGCATAGCCCAAAGGCCGGTCTGCCCGCGTCAGGGGAGGAAGCAGGGTTCAAAGAGCACCTGGCCTAGCACCCCCGGCTGACAGATGAGACTATTCAACCCTCCGAGCACCGGCCCATCATGCTCCCGTTACCGCTTCTGCTTTCCAACTCGGGCCTGTCTCGCTGCACCGTAGCCACAGGCCCTGCACCTAGGAGCCTCTGGTTGTCATTCTCAGCCCCAAACCTCTGGCTGAGTCCCTGAGCCGGACTCCCTTTCTCAGAATCACACCCTTTCCGACAGCCACCTCTACCCTGTGCTGTCTGCTGCCAGCATGCACCAGGCCCTTGGCTTCCCTTAGGCTATGGTAAGCAATTTGGTGGTGTTCCGGGTGGAGCGGCGGTCCTGCCTAGTCCTAGTCGAAGGGCTTGGTGAAGGAAGAGTCAGGGGCTTCCTCATCTGCATGGTTAGTGTGTCTGTGGTGTGTGTGTGTGTGTGTGTGTGTGTGTGTGTGTGTGTGTGTGGTGCGCCCTCTTGCACATACCCAGGGATAGGGCGTGCAGATAAGCCCAAGCCACAGCTGAGAATTTTCCAGCTTCTGTTGAAGAAGGGAAGGGAGGTTCTGAAGGAACAAAGCCAGACACCTCGGGCTGAAGTCTATCTTCAGAAGAGTAGGGGCTGAACCCATAGCCAACTCTTCCCAAGGGCCCTCAATAGAGCTACGGCAGCTCAGCATCCTCTGTTGCCCCAATCCCAGGGCCCAGCACTGTCTTCAGGCCTCGGCCGCATGCAACATGCAGGCAAAACACTCATGGGCACAAAACAAGTTGATGTTGTTGTTTAAAGCTAAAACTTTGTTTTAAACCCCAGCTAGGCCCCTGGCCGCCTCCTGAGGAGGCCACGCAGGGGTAGAGGTCCAGTGGAGCAAGCCTGCACACTCCTGAGAGTCCGGTGAGACCCAGCCTCGGGTGTAGTTTAGGCACATGGGAAGCATTCAAGAGCACTGAGAAATTATTTAGAAGGTAAACAAATACATAGAATGATGGTTTTCCAGTGTCTACGAAGTCAGCAAACAAGAGGCTGAGAAAGAGGGAGGCAAGACACCAGGTCAAGGGGGGGAATCAAAAGGGGGGTCGAGCGGCCTGGGCTGGCCTGCG